CAGCACCAACAGAGAAAAATTTAACGTTTTCATAAGCTTTTCGGAGGATTTGTACTCGATAAAATCCTGCCGAAATTTTATCATAAATGCAAAAAATAGCGAACTTTTCAGACATGAACTCAAAAAAAGAGTACCGTTTGTCATTTCCGTGCGCAAGCTACTTTTAGGGGAGCAAAAGTTGACCACCCCCCTGGATAGCAAAATTTACTATCTTCAATTTTTTTTATATTTTCCACAATTTAAGAACTCAAGCAATCCATACATATAAAAAATCACAATTCATGAACAGAATTGTGGAATTGAGAGCAATTTCAAAATTGTCTTACTTTTTTTGATACACCCTGTATATAGTATATATAGTATATATATATATATATATATATATATATATAGTATATATATATATATATATAGTATATATATATATATATATATATATATATATATATATATATATATATATATATATATATATATTTATATACTTACATACATATATAGATATATATACATACATACATATATAGATATATATATATATATACATATACATACATATATAGATATATATACATACATATATATATATATATATATATATATATATATATATATATATATATATATATATATATATATATATATATATATAGAAAGACACAAAAACTTAGCAAGCTTTGTTTGGCATATTTATTACTATACAGTCTCGTACCACGTAAATAACGTGGCACTCTTCAGATAAAATAGCCTATGTTTGACCTACGTATAGCTTCTTAACGAACTTTTTAAATATGTACAGATGGTATAAAGGACGCTTATCTAATTACAAATCAATTAACACCTCAAGTAGTGTCACAAAAATATTAGTATCAAGTTATAAAGTTTTTAAGTAGAAATTTATTAGCGTGTCTACACGTGGAGACAAGTTCGTTGCGACGATTAAGGGTTGCAATGTCCGGTTTACAAATAATGAAATACTTCTCCCAGATACACAAGTTACATCTCTTGGATGCATTACTGTAAGATTTAGCGCGTTTTAAAATTTTCCATCTGATAGAGTAACTAATATTATTGTTCTTAAGATTCCAGATTTATTTACTTAATTCAGTAGAATTACGCTTCTCATAGTTATTAAATGAAGCTTTGTGATTGGTGTATCGAGTTTTGAATTCATTTTCTGTAACAGAAAATGAATTCAAAACTCGATACACCAATCACAAAGCAATCTGTTAGTCCAACATATGTTTGAGTGGGCCGATTGTCAGATGTTTTTTCCGTTGGCTTGGTAGATAACAGATTTTGCTAGACAATTTTTTGACATAGGGCATTTACTTGGTTTTTGGCAATTGCATTTTTTTTTCGTCGGTGGTTTTAGCTCGGTGGGATAGCTTGGATTTATTATGTCCGTCGATGTTTTGTTTAAAATTACTCATGCAGCTGTAGCTAATCTTGGCGATATTTCTGTTGAATATCTTGTGTAAGATATGGCCTGCGGGAAATTTCCCGCAGGGAAAATATATATACATATATATATATTATATATATATATATATATGCTGTTGAGGCGAAAATATATATATATATATGCTGTTGAGGCGACCAGTGGAATACATGATAGTTTTGGAGTTGAAGCTGGTCTAAAATCCTTTTAAAAATACTAGAATATGTACAATACAGTACAATATGTATATATTCTAGTATTTTAAAAAGGATTTTAAAAAGGATTCTTGACTATGGTCTATATAAGGAGAAAAATATATCACCATTTACTCGCATATCTTTCCTTTATATCCAGGACGACAAGAACATTTGAAAGAACCTCCATCGTTCTCACAAATCCCTTTATTTTTGCATGGCGAAGAATAACATGATAGTTCTAACAAAGATATTTGTTTGGTAATTATAC